TTTGTTTGTTTCATCTCCTTTCCTTCACAGCAACATATTTGTAGAAAGTTGATAAAAGAAGAAGAAAGAAGACGTGAAAACCCCAAACCCTAAACCCTAAACCCTAAACCCTCGCTCGTGTACGCAGCATGGCGTGGGGGCCCCCCTCGTTCGAGAGCAGGGGAGGGGCCCCCTCCTCCAGGGGCCCCCAGGGGCCCCCTGCTTCTTCTTCTGCTACTGATGCTGTTAGAAAGGACTATAAAAGTGAAAGCGCAGTGGCGCTGCATGAGGTGAGCTCGCTGCCAGCCGGGCGTGAGGTGTACGTACAGGTCGGCGGTATCTTCCTGCTTGCTGATGCAGCAACAGCTAAGAAAAGAATTACAAAGCAGCAACAGCAGCAGCAGCAGCAGCAGCAAGAGAAGCAACAGTAACGGAACTGCTGGATACAGAGGCAGGCAGCAGCAGCAGCCCCTGCAGCAGCATCACCTGCAACAGCAGCAGCTGCAGCAGCAGCACCTGCAACAGCAGCAACTGCAGCAGCAGCAATTGCAGCAGTACCCACGGCAGCAGTCGTACACAGAACAGCAACAACTGCGTTGTTTGCACCCGCAGCAGCAGCATTAGCAGCAGCAGCACGGGCAGCAGCAGCCGCAGCAACTGCAACACCATCAACTGCAACACTAGCAGAGCAGCAACCGCAGCAGCACCAACAGCAGCAGCAGCTGCTGCCCCAACAAGCGTTGTTGTTGCTGGCAGCAGCGGCAGCAGCAGCAGCAGCTTCTGCTGCATTCCCAGGTATGAAGACCAGCTGCTCCTGCAGCGCTGCCGGGGAATCCCTGCCGGCATAGCTAGCTGGCCGCTAGCCGCCAGCTGGCTAGCCAGTTAGCTAGCCAGCAGGCAGCCATCCAGCTAGCTAGCTAGCTAGCTAGCTAGCTAGCTAGCTAGCTAGCCACCAGATAGCTAGCTGACAACCACTTCAGGTGCAGCGGAGCGAAGCTGCTGCTGCGCCGCAGTTTTGTTCAAATGTTTTTTTTGTGGTCTGGTTTAGATACATGTCAGTAGCTAGCTAGCCATCGAGCTAGCCACTCAGCCAGCCGTCTACCGCGCCAGCTAGCTAGCTAGCTAGTTACTCATCTAGCTACCCCTCTAGCTAGCCATCTACCTAGCCCCATGCCTGATTGGCTAGCCAGCTAGCTGGGGAGAAATCTAGCAAGTCATCTAGCTAGCCACCTGGCTAGCCACCTAGCTAGCTAGCTGGTCTTCCCTCTAGCTAGCCATATAGCTAGCTAGCTGTGCACATCAACAGAGGCAGTTAGCCCTATATGCTCAACCGAGCAGCAAGGTTGACGCCTAAGCAAAGCTGCTGCAGCACCAGCCACGCCAGTAGCAGCAGTTACTGCTGCTGCGCCTGCGGCGTGTTGCGGGTACCAGCCAGCTAGCTAGCTGGCTAGCTAGCTAGCTAGCTAGCTGCTGTGGAGGTGCCATATGCGGCAGTGCTATATGCTCTACTCGAGCGGGTCCGAGGCCCTCGCCTTCGTCCAGATGCTCTTGCTGTCTCCTGCTGCACCTGCTGCAGCAGCAGCAGCAGGAGCAGCAGCAGACACTGGTGTGGTCCCTGCTGAGAGGCCCCCGGCTGCAGCGCCAAATGTAGAGGTACTGCCCAACTGTCCCCACCCTCCAAACCCCTGCTGCTGCTGCTGCTGCTGC